CCCAGTAGTATCCAGATACCAGTGCGTGTCTCAGAAGGGCACGCATTAAATCAGTAAGATTTAGGATCCACTGTACATTAATGGGTAAGCAGATCATATCAAACAGAATGTCTATTTTATTCATTTTCATGTACATTAAAAATCACAGGTTCTTTTAGACCCAAATGAGTCCAGAACAATGGTCTTGAATTAATAAATACTGTCCTACAAACACACACTTCTATTAACATTATTATATTGTCTGGAGGTACTTGCAAGGTGAAATCTATCCTTCTGCAGAGAAACTGCAACAGGCCGTTGGCACCTGATGAATGGCTTAAGTCACTATGTACGGATGCAAACCTTACACTGGGGTGCATTCGCCCTTTGCTATTATAGGTCACCTTCTTGACCTTAGAAATGGCTGCACCTTCTTGCCTCAGCCTAAGCCTTCAGCACTTTGATTTTTTTCCCTGGATTTTAAAATGATTACATTTAAGTGCTAGCTCTGTAGGAAGTATTAAGTTTTAATTTTAATATTTTGTAAAGCGTATGAAGATTCCTCAGTATGACAAGGCGCTATAAAAGTTTAAGCTGTTCCACTATAATAGCTGAAGTCCTTTGCCCCAAGTGATTTAATTTTAAATCTAGGTACTTCTAGATAACCAATTATCTAACAGAAGTTACCAGTAAACCAGTGGTATAGAAAGGCCAAACCCTAAATAGATTCAAATGAATAAATTAATTTAAAAGTGAACTTTACAGTCATCGGTGAAAAGAAACATGTAAGGAGAATTATGTACAGTTCTTTTACTTATACATTTTTGTTCCAAAAAAAGGGCTATGCTCTTTGGTAGTGTTTGCCACTTCCTATGTAAATTATCAGACAGGTCAACAAAGTGAATTGTGAAAAACACAGTACATTTTAAACACTTGTAGCCTGATCTATGTATTTAGATACCCTGAAGGCTTTAGTTAGCTATTGTATTCTGAAATTTAGAATCCTACTCAGTGGAAAATTATATTTACTGAGTTCCAAATAGCTCCCATTTATATATGGAACATCTTATACTTCATACAATGTAAAAATTGAAAAGTCAATAATATTCCTTTTATAATAAAATTACCTTGTGTTATATTTTTATATTACTTAGTAAAGTCCTAAAACATTTAAATTAAAAAAAGTGTCTTCAAGAGTAAAAGAAAAGTGGTGTATTTAAATAACAGCTTTGAAATCAGTGAGATAGCAGTAAGTCTCTGCCACCATTTTGTAGCTATATGAATGCAGAAAAAAAGCTACTGCTACATTACTGAATAATTATCCATCTAAATGTCAGCTATGACCACGTGATCAGTCTTTTTATGGGCAAAAAGAATGTTCCCTTATGTCCATATTTAATTTCAGTATGGAAATACAGTACATGTTCACCTTTCCCATTGACATCCCAATACACAGGCATTTTAGTCCTCAAGGCATTTTCTCTTTATTTTTTTCTCTCTCGCTTTCTTTTCTTGTAAGAAATAACACTTAAGACAAACCTGGAGCTGTGCAGAAAATTGTTTAAAGCTGGTAGCACGTTTAGACATTTGTATATGAACTGAGGTCTTACTAGAACTGCTTTAGGATAAAGGCTTTTTATTCAACTGAATGAAAGAGCCGTTTAGAAATGCAAGGACATACATGTTAGGCTACCCTGTTTAATTTTATACCTGGCTGTTCACATCACCTACAATTTGAACAACTTTCAAAAATTGCAAGTGTTAACTTTTAGGGTATATCTGCAGCTACACTGAAGTACAACTTCATTGTCTGCAGGCACCCACAAAATCTGAACCTGAATTTTTGTGCTAACAGAACAAATTTCTCCTATTGCATTAATTGTTTTGTTTGATGTGGCAACACCAGCAGAGAAACAGGGGCAACACAGGCAGATCAAGTCTTCCTTATCTGTCAGTCAGGCAAGTTGAAGCCATTCAGGACACAGGATTTTATAGTCTAGTTACTCCTCCTCCCAGGATGCAAACCAACTTCTCCAGGTGTGAACACCAAAAAAATCAGTCAGCTTACATTGTCCTATCTAATCATTTGCACAGACCTAAATTCACATTGTGTTATGCTGAATGAGTGGATGCACACACTAATGCTACTACCTTATGGAATATAATTGAAAGGTATGAAAAAAATTGCTTTTCTATGATGGAGCTGCTGCTTGCATAGACAAATAAGTCTGACTAGCAATGACTCAAACCAGGGTCAGTAGGAGTTATTGGCCCCATACATTATAACTAGGTTCAAGAAGTGGGAAACAGAGACAAGAAAAAGGGTAAAGAAGACTTGACAGAGCATAATGGACCTTTTCCACCATTTGCAAGGCCCCCCATTTTGCAAGGCACAGCACAGAGGCCTGAGCTTGTAGAAGAAAAAAAAAAAAAAGAGATTAGGAAAGGAGAACTTAACCACTGAAAAGTCATCCAGGTAACAGCTCTGAACCCTGAGATTGGTTTTGGGATTACAGCAAAGAGAAGCAAGATTTCCTAAGTAAAATGAAAGTTTGGATCACCATAGGAGAAAAAAAGAACTGGAGAACTACTTTCTCCCTCTGGAAAGTGAAGCATATTCATTATGAGACTATGGCCAGAGTGCTTGGCAAAACAGGGAAGAAAGAGAAGAGGAGCAATGACAGGTTAACATTTAGCACTAAATTTAGACTTCAAAGGGAAAAAGATAAGTATTTAACAAAAGAGCTGCTGTAAGAAGAATCGAGTTGCAAAGTA